AGAGAGAGAGAGAGAGAGAGAGAGAGAGAGAGAGAGAGAGAGAGAGAGAGAGAGAGAGAGAGAGAGAGAGAGAAAGAGAGAGGTGTCAAACAAGTGGGCCCATATCCATTCCTTGCCGGCCCATATCTATTTAAATCCAATCGATTTTTTTTTATTTTTTTTTTAAATCCAATCGAGAAAAATTTTATTTTATTTAAATGTATTTGAGATAAATTAGATCCAACAGGGGAAGGACGACCCATATTCATTCCTTGCCGGCCACAAGTATGAAAACGAGACGGGGGAGGACGAAGAACATCAGGAGCAACCATCGACCCTCGTCAGTGTAATCGTGACACTTGCAAACAAGAAGGAAGGAACCTCCTAGCATTGGTTCGACTTGGGGTTGAGCATTGAACCCGCCATAATCTCTTACATTGGAGCACACGTACAAAGGCTCCATCCCGCTACAACTTACTCGTTTTCCCCCCAACTTTCCTTCTCCCTTGCGCCCTAGTGGGCGAGCGCCTGAGATTAAGAGAAGAGAGTACTTAGCGGTGCCGGGGGGGGGCACCCATCCAAAGAAGCCATGCACCCCTCCCAGAAGAGAGACCAATCCTCCTACTGCCCCCTTCCCCCCCACTACTCATAACAAGAGAGGAGAGACTAGTGTCGGGCAACTCCTTCGACGTCTGGGTCCAATTTATATCGGACTCGGACCCCCTCCCCTCTTTCTTCGCAAGACCGTAATTTGGTAGGACCTCCCCCTTCTTGGTTTCTAGCAAGAAAACACCACGTAGGAAACGCAAGGTCAAACAAGTGGGTAGTTTGTTTTCCCAAAGGAGGAGGCTGGGCCGCAAAAACTCGCATACAGTTTGCTTATTTGAAGGAAAAGAAACATGTACCTTGATGAAGCGAGGCCCACAAATAGTTTGTTCACTCAAAGGAGAGGGACAATCCGCCTAACAAGGCGAAACTCGCAAACAGTTTATAAAAAAAAACAGACCAACCCTCTCGAGGGCTCGTACTTTCGTTCCTCCCCTTCTTGTTGCTTTCTTCGCTCTCCCTCCCTCACACACACGCGTTCAGGCAAAAAAAAAACAGAAAGTACGCCATTGTTTTGACGTTCAGGCTTTACAACCAGAAAGTACGACACTGTCTTAGAAGAAGGTTAGTGATGTAAAACCAATGCAGACCCAAGGCACAAAATCCGAATCTCCACATGACCCGTTATGGCACCACCAATCGACAAGGCACTTTGTTGACGTTGGCGACCACGAACGAAGTATATAAAGACGTCGAACCCGTAGCCGTACGGCTAGACCAGGTATGTGACCTCCTCTCTCTCTCTCTCTCCCCCCCCCCCTCTATCGAGCGTTTGCGCAACCGCTTGAGAACACAACTGCTCCATCCTCCGAGCTTCCGCCCGTTCCCACCAACAGAGTATTGAGAAAATAATAACGAAACCGAACAACAAGTAAATATACGAGCTTCCCCCCCTTTTTTTTCCCCCCTTTCTTCTCATAATTTTGACAAAACTGAGCTCTCAAGCGCTCCTTCTTTCTGCCCACCCACTTTTTCCTTTCTCTCCATACCAGCAACGGAGCCGTACTGGGAGGCCAGAAGGCTGATCCGAGTGCCTCCAACGTGAATCCGAAAATTTAGAAACCGAGCTTGCAAGAACCCACACTCGACGTCGTCGATGACCCGCCTCCCCTTGTCTCGAAGTCCCGATAAAAACGGGTATGTGTTTGTACGGCGTCGCCTCGATAAACCGGCCCAGGCAGCATGAGCACTGCTCCACCAACGACCTGACCAAGGCCGTTCTCCCGTTGGCACTAGGCACCCAAGCTACTGCGCTCTCCGAGTAGACACGACCAGCGAGCTTTCACTGGAGCGTGACAACTCCCGTCGAGACCTCTCCGAGGCGTACCTAAGAGTCGCCCGCAACAATGGCCGTCACCGAGTGTAATATCGCCTACTTATTACATCTCGAGCCACTGCCCGCTGTCGGTGCGAATACCCTTACAAGGGTATCCGCCCTGTTTTTTGCAAGCGAGAGAAACTAGTTTTGGTTTAAAGTTTAAGTATACCGCGCTAGGCGCGGCCGCGTCTGTAATTTACGTTGGCTGGATGGTTGACTAGAGTAGAGAGTGTGTGGGCGCGCAGGTTTGAGGCGCGCATGATTCCGTTTCTATTGTTGATTATAAAGCCGGTGCGGACGCCGGTCGTTGTTTATTTCTGATTGGACTAGGATTTAAGGATATTTTTCTCTGGTTGGTACAGTTGACTGAAGTACGCGTGCGTACGGAAGACGATCTCGACGGCGACGACGACGGCGACAGTGTGACTGCGGTAGATCTTGGCACGCGGAGTGGCGCGAGTGGCGGCCGTGGTACAGCTTGGTAAGTCGGCGCAGACGCTGGGCGGCCGCGCGTACGGTTGTAGGCAGAGATGAGGCTCAGGCCAATTGCCCTTGCCCTGAGCGCAGCGCCGCACCGCCTTATATGGCACTCCGCGGATGTCGGTCTCTACTTGGGCTTAGCCCTATAGGTTACGGTGTTGGGTTATTGCTATGGAGGTTTGGGGATCGAGGCCAGCGGGCATCGACACAGTAGCAGCGGAGTGGCGTGGAGGAAACCAAGGGGTTGAGGGCCGGCGGGGCTAGCCCCGTTTGTTTTTATCGAGGTGCACGATGTGTAGGGCTGCCCGTTAATTTCCCCGTTCTATTTTTATTATTTTTTTAATTTTTCCTTCTTATTTTCGTTTACTCGCGTCCCGTTCTGGGATGCGATATCGGGCCTAATCCCGGGTCACGGAAGTACGTTGCATTTGCGGGGTTGCCTGAAGTGCAATTACAAGCTGTTTTCGTGACTGGGTCGAAGTTGTAGTTTTTTTTTATGTATATACTTTCTTTTCAATTTTTAAATTTAAACTTTGTTGACCGCGTCCCGTTTCACCTTGGGACGTGGTACCGGAGGTTCAACGTGCATGCGAGCCGGTGGGTGATTAGCCCCCGAGGCAGACGTAGCTGGGGCGTGTGCCCCTGCGGGTGCACCGTCCGCGGCCACGATTTGTTGTGAGAGGCTGGAGTATGGACGTGCGGTCTACCCGGAGGGTGGTGAGCTCTGCATGGTCTAAGGGCCTCGTTAGACACTCCTTGTTGACCCAAAATCCACAAGGAAATGATCGTTACACCTATCCTTGGGGACGATCGTCGAAAAAAAATGTGAAAACACCACAAGGACGTTTCCTTGTGGCGTCCTTGTGGCCACAACCAATTTTCCCTAAACCCCAAGGGACCTCTTGAGGTCCCTCGTAACACAAGGAAGCGCGAAATTCGGAGCGACGAAGGCATGAGTCGACGCACAATTTCGGTTGGAGGGTGGTCCAGACGTGGTCCGCCGAAATGGAGCACGGACATCTCCGCCTCGAAAGTCTGCTCGTCGTCCCAACGGCTCCAAATGGTAACTGGGAGCGTGAGGCCTCCGTCCGTCCGCGCGACTCGACGACCACCGCCGTCGTGCGGTCTGCTCCGGCGGGCAATCGTCGACAACGGTCCGAAATTCGAAAGTTTTTGTACACGGCTCCCCGTTCAGCGACGACAGTCATTCGACAACATCGTCGTTTTCTTCCACTACCGTCACGCCTCGCACGTTCGAGCACAGATCTTCCACCGAGCTTCCTTGTCTCGACGACCTTGTTCGTTGAACGGTCCACCGCCGACGTCGGTTTCATCCCCTTCGAACGGCCCTTACATGGTCGACCTGTTGCACAGGCTTCCCCTGCTGTTCCTCGTCGTCTTGCTGCTTCTCGTCGTTGTCTTCTACCACCTGTGTCTCGTCGGCCTCGTCCCGGTCGCGTCTCGCAGAAGGAGATCTCCCAGGAAGGCCGACAGGATGGTTGGACGGCTGCCTAACGGCAGACCGGCAGGCACATCCGGCGGATCTATCAATCGCCAACGCAGTGCGGGGTCGGTGGCGAAGCAGCCGTACGACCCGACGTTGTATGCGCACCTGCCTTCTCACGAGATTCCTCTGCCGCCGTCGGATGACGATGGGGGGGAAGCCAGGTCGCCGACTTTGCCGTTGGGAAGCGGTTCTACGCAGGACTGGGCGGCGACTCAATCGTGCGGCGGCAGGGGGGTGGAGACGCAGTGGTCTTACACGTCACTTCTAAACGAGGGGCTGTGCGATGACGACGGCGATGCAACGGTCGATCTGAGCTTTCAGCTGTCGAGCAGCAGCGGAGCAGCCGCGACGCACACTCGGATCATCAATTCCCACCCGGGTGGGGATTGCGAGGAAAACACGCAAGGCGCTGTCTGCGGCCCACGAGACGGCGGTCTGCCTCAATCGGTTCGCGACGGTGGAGGTGATCGTAATAACTCGTCGCTGAGCGTCGGTGGAGGATTCGGTGCGCGTAAACGACCGGACCGGATGCGCTTGTCGCCTGCGGCGCGAAGCGGACCGGACGCTACTCGAGGGCGGCAGCCGGCGGAGGATTTGATTGGGGGAGGTCCGGACGTGCAACGCGACGGCAGGCAGGTCTGGGTAGAATGCAGGCAGGAGTTGCATCGAGGTGAAACGGAGACGATAACCAGAGGGGTGCAAGGACTGCACGTCGACGAAGTGGAAGACGTGGCTGTTGATGAGGGGCAGGGGTGTGACGACGTGGACGGCGAGGACGGTTGCAAGTCCGACGATTTACCAGACATCAGGCCGCTTGGGAGGAGGGCGACGAGAGGCGGATCCGGTGCTAAGAAGGGCCCCGCCACGAAACCGAGACGGACGAAGAACATGGATGACGATGGCGAGGGCGGCCGGAATTTCTGGTCGGTAGGAGACACGGTCGCGCTCGTGAGGGCGAAAAGGGATCAAGATCTGTATATTGCTGGCCTGGGGATTAGTTTCGCCCGCATGAAAACGGCCGCGTGGAAGTGGGAGGACGTGCGGGTGAGGTTGCAGGCGATGGGAGTGACGAGGGATGCCGTCGACTGTGGGAAGAAATGGGATAACTTGATGCAACAATTCAAGAAGGTGCACAAGTTTCAAAACCTCTCCGGCGGGAAGGACTACTTTAGGCTTGCTTCGAGGGACAGGCGATCGGAGGGCTTCAGCTTCGTCATGGACCGGAGCATGTGCGACGAAATGGAGGCCATGACGAAGGGGGATCACACGATCCACCCGACAAATTTGGCGGACACTGGGGCGGCGGGGGGGGTTCAAATGCCCGCAGGCGCGGGGGGGAGTGGGGGCACCATGGGCGGCGATGGTGGAGGGGAGACGGCAGACGAGGAGCAGGGGTCGACGAAAAACTCGTCATTCAGCGCGGGAAGCGGCGGTGGTTATGGGAAGAGGAAGAACATGCGGCAACAAACCTTTAAAGCCGTCGCCGACGTCATGGAGAAGCATGGTGCACTCATGGGGAGCATAATGGACAGCACTAGCAAGCGGCAATGCTCTATGATGTCACGGCAGTGTGAAATCCTGGAGAGCGAGGTGGAGCTGCAGAGGAAACACTATGCAGCAGCGGATGAGGCGAATAGAATGATGTGCAACGCCCTGCTGGAGATAGCAAAAGCCGTCCGCGAGAGATCATGACTGGCGCGCACTTTCATGTCCATCCGCGGATAGAGAGAGAGAGAGCGAGTGTGTGTGTGTGTGTGTGTGTGTGGGCGGGTGGGTGGGTGGGTGGGTGGGTGTCGACGGCAAATGCTTTGCACTGCCTTATTTTTAGATTTGTTCCTTTTGTTGTGTTTTTGTAATATATATATATTTTTTCTGCGTTTCTTCAAACACGGCAGCGCTCTGCGCTACATTTGTGGTGTCCCTGGCGAGAGGGGCACGTGTTGAGTGGGTCATGAGGATCGACGATTGCGCGGCG